ACTACAGCCGTACTTCCTAGTAAAGAGAGAGAATTTACTCCAGTGACACTAACATCATTCAGGTTAATTATTTGAACTCATTAATAAAGACAGAAACCGAGATATTGATCGCCATTTATATAGTAATGGTTGAGATTTGTGATTTATAAGACGTTTTTATTTATCATACAGACTGGAATATTATATTAAAATATACATTATTATATCTGTTGTATCTAAAATTAGAATGTGATTTTGAAGAATTTTACATTTGAAAGGAAATTCTGGGTAATGTTGGTTTTTCAGAAGTGAAATTAAAACCAAGTTCATCTAAATTACAATTGCAATATTGCTTGTTACAAACAAATACCGGTAGTATGTTTACATTTACATATTTCACAAACACTTGCTTATTTTATTATCACTTCCAGGTTACTGGAAACTAAAAGCAGAAAAGTTGCAATTTTGCTATTTAATTTGCCGTTATTTAAATAAAAACCATCTAAATATAACTGGTTCTATTTTTTGTACAACTTTTGAAAATGGAACGCATGGTGTGGGGCGACAATGAGTGATCAGAGTTTGACAAAGGAAAGAATAATATTCAAGTACCACTTATAACATATAACACTTTCCCTCTTCAACACACAAACATTTTTCTACCTCTTTATCATGCAAAGTTTGGAATGTAGTAGTACAATTTAAATGTTAATTCAGAGAAAAGTATATAAATAGATTATGTTCTATGTAAAATTGAAAATCCATAATAAACTTTTCAGTTCCCTTTATTTTGAAAGTTCATTGCTTTTTTTCAATTATCTATGAATTGACGATTGCTGATGAAAGGTCAGATGAAATTTATACCAAACAACCCAGGATATGTAAAGTGTTGTACCTTGGATCAAATACATTATAAAGGACATGTAAAATGAAGAACTGCTTACTTTTTAGCTCACCTGAGCCGAAGGCTCAAGTGAGCTATTCTGATCAAAATTTGACCGTTGTCTATCGTCGTTGTCGTTGTAAACTTTACACATTTTCATCTTCTTCTCAAGAACCACTAGGCCAAACTTTCAACCAAACTTGCGACAAAGTATCCTTGAGTAAAGGGGATTCAAGTTTTTTTATTCAAATAAAGGACCATGCATTCTTCAAAAGGGGGATAATGATGAATTAGTGAAAAAGCAATGGCATGTTTTAAAAATCTTCTTCTCAAGAACCACTGGGCCAGGAAAAATGAAACTCATGTGGTAGCATCCTCAGATAGTTTAGATTGAAATTTGTTCAAATCATGATCCCCAGGGGTAGAGTGGGGCCACAATGGGAGGTCAAAGTTTAACATAGGTTTACATAGGGCAAATCTTTAAAAATCTTCTTCTCCAGAAGCACTGGGCCAGGAAAGTTGAAACTCTTTTGGAAGCATCCTCAGGTAGTGCAAATTCAAGTTTGTTCAAATCATGACCCCGGGGTAGGATGGGGCCACGATGGGGGATCATATTTTAACATAGGTTCACATTGGGAATATCTTTAAATCTTCTTCTCCAGAAGCACTAGGCCAGAAAAGATGAATCTTATGTTGAATCATCCTCAGGTAGTTCAGAATCAAGTCTGTTCAATTCATGACCCCTAGCTGTATGGTGGTGCCATGATGAGGGGGATCAAAGTTTAACATTGGAATACATAGGGAAAATTTTCAGAAATCTTTTTCTCAAGAACCACTGGGCCAGGAAAGATGAAACTAATGTGGAAGCATCCCCATGTAGACAGTGTAGATTCAAGTTTGTTCAAATTATGATCCCCAGGGGTATAGTGTGGCCATGATGGTTGGGGGGGGGGTTCAAAGTTTAACTTAGGAATACATAGGGAAAAACTTAAAAATATTCTTCTCAAGAACCACTGGGCCAGTAAAGATGAAAGTCATGTGAAAGCATCCTCAGGTAGTGTAGATTCAAGATTGATGTAAATCATGACCCCCAGGGGTATGCTGGAGCCATGATAGGGGGTCAAACTGTAACATATGAATACATATGGAAAATCTTTAAAATTCTTCTTCTCAAGAACAGCAAAGCTATTATTGGTCATAGTTATATGGAAGCATCCTCTTGTGGTGCGGTGTAAATTCAAGTTTGTTCAAACCATTATCCCAATTGAAGCAACTGTGTTATTTAATTTTTTCAATATTGAACTGATTTTGCTTTTAGTTTTACATACCAGAGCTCAGGTGAGCGATGTGGCCCTGGGTCTCTTATTATTTAGTTTGTTTATTTGTCCCCTACGGATGAAACCGCAATTACTTAACTGTAATTAATTGATAAAAAATAATCAAATGTAATTTGCTGATTCGATTTTTTAAACAGGAAGGCCAATTGGAGCACAGGGGCGGGGAAGTTACAATTCAAAATTGTAAATTGTCAGTCTGACACATCTGTTTCATCGCTGGATATTTTACTTGTCAAAAGACATTTTTGGTAATCTAACAACCAAGCTATATGATAAACGTGATGACTTTAACTTTTCTATCGTCAAATTCCCTCATTTATACAGTAATATACATTCATCACCTGCATAAAGATATATCTCAGTCGATTCAAAACGCAAGAGCATGTCTGCGTATGAACAATTTCTAAAACGAGGTAAATTGTTGACAAGCAAGTTAATGAAACAAGAATATCAGCAGTCTCGTTTAGTGTCATCATTTTGTAAATTCTATGGTCGATACAATGACCTTGTAAGAAAATATTATCATTGGGACAAATGCTGACGTTTTTCATACTTATTGTCAGTCTGTTATTTATACACTTAATTGACGACGGATTTTCCCGTTATTTCCCGATCATGACAAGGCGCACACGTCGGGTGTGACCGGTCAGCAGGGGATGCTCACTCCTTCATGGCACCTGATCCAAACTCTGATGTTTCGGAGGTCCGCGTTTTCTCCGCTCCTGCTTTGTATTGTTTATGGACTTTGAGATTGAATGTTGTTCGCTATCTCCATATCCTTCTTAGATTCACATATATGCATTAATATCTAAAATGTTAAATGGACAGTTTGCACACACATGATATGATAAACATAATTTAAGAAAAATGGATATACAAATTATATTTGCTTATATGGGCTTATCATATACAATTGATTTCAAAAAGTGTTAAAATTCTGTGATATTAAGAAAGTGAGAAAGTGACAGAAAAGTTATGGAAAAACGTTCAAAAGCTTTTTTTGTACTTCTGGAAAACCGGAAATGGAACTCTTATCGAGACGTAGTCTAATTATTTTTTTTATTATTTTTAGGGATTTTGTAACTTTTACTGTTTTATTTGTTGTTTTAAGATTTAAAAATTGAATGTTTACCATCCCAATTTCTTCGGGGACCATCTCAAAAACCTTGTAAACTTTCACTACTGGACCCTATGTGCATTTCTTAAAAAGCGCCAAATCATAAGATTTTTTCCATTTTTTTTGTATTTCTGGCCTAGAGATTTCTTTTTCATTTAATTAGATGAAAGTTATTTTAAAAAGTCAGTAAATTGTGAAATTTTAGAAAAGTTTACCATCTTGGTTGATCTAGAAATTGATTTTCAATGTTTTTTAAGCCAAATACCTATAAAATTGTCAATTCACGGTATGAATAAATATCAGTGCAGATGAATTACCAGCTCGTATGATAATTTTAGTAAAAATAGCAATGTTAAGATTCTTAGTATATTTCTTTGGATGTTCTGTCATCAGTTTTTAGTATATTATCCATACATGTAGATGTCTTGAAAATACAAGAGAGCCATTCGTCATTCTTCAGCGTCATGCATTGCTCACAAAATCCGACAATGGTGACGTCGTTAAAGCCATTTCAACGTTTTCCCATATACTAGTATATAAAAATCACATTTTCAGACCAATAGAAGCTGAAGATAATGTAAATTTTATATCAAAATCAAAATATTTGGCAAAGGTGACTGCATAAAATTAAAAAGCCGCTCAAAGTCATGTGCAATCGAATTAGAGTCGGCGTCTTTAGAATGAAATATGAAGTAGTATGACGGTTGACGATGGATCACACTTATATTGATAGATGAACTTTCCAGAGAGTTTGCAGACGGTCGTAACATAAAGGCTACTTAAGTCTAAGACCGTGCTTAAGTAGGACTTAAGTATATAGTCTAAAACGAATTAAGACTGTAACTTGAAATGAACTAATATTTGGCAATCTTAGCAAAACTTAGGCGGCCGGAAGAGGTGACTTAAGCATATCTTAACTTTCTCATGCATATATTTAGAATTATTTAATAGTGACTTTCGATGCTAAAACATTTAATTTTAGGGATATTTAGTATTCTTGATTAAATTGCAAATGAATTTATCATAAAACTTCTGCAGTTTTTGCTTATAACATGTATGGCCTGATACATAGCGGGGATTCAAAATGTATTGAACTTTTTAGAGTTTCAATTTTAAGTTTGTAGGCGGTCGATTATCTTTTATTGCCTGCGATAATAACAGGGTAAATGAATATTTGTCAAAACAAGAGTTACAAAAGGTAAACTGAAGACATCTCAGGTGATAAAACAATTGTCGTACATTTACAATGAACCACAAATTGCCAGTTTCTTACCTTGTGGTATTTGTTTTCAAACATTCCGAATAAATTAAAACATAATTATAATTTTATTAAGAAATCTAATCTAACGTAACTTAAACCGATAGGCAAGGATGTCAACTTTAATATGTAATTAATTAAAACTCTAACTGAATCACTTATAGGAATATATCTATATGAAATAAAAAAAAAATACGTTGACTCATATGAATTATTTTAACATACGTTTGACTTAGCTAGGACCTACCTCAGTTCGCTTTATGTTACGGGTTAAGACATACTTAAGTAGTACTTAGACAGGTCATAAGATTATTTCTAAACCTGGAACTCTAGACCTAGATAGACACTCATCATGGAATTGAATTCTGGAGCGAAAAAAACAGGGTTTAAATTGTCTGAAGGAAAAAGCACTGACGCGCAAAGTTCATTTTTATGTCGGTCAAATAAAAAAAAGTTTACATATTTCCCCCCGTGAGTCTTCTGTTTAAAGAATTAATACAAACGGGACAAGAGATTGGTATGTTACGTCTGATATATACCTACATTTTAATCTGTAAAGACATGTTTCTAATTATCTTGTATCTTATATAAGTCTTTGTTATACTTTTTTCTGTTTGCCAGGTTCTATTATTAGATTAAATGAAGTTGTTTTGCATCCCACAAAAGATATATAGTTATAAAATTGGGTAAGCTTTTACATCTTACACGAAGACTTTTCTAAAGATTAGCTAATTTAGTTGTGATACATTGTAAATAATGTTTTCAGATTGGTTTCGTTTCATTTTTTTTGCTTATTTAGAGTTAGCAATATGACAGAGATATCAAACCACTCAGTAGGAATCTAAACTATAGAAGATCATTCAGTCATGACATAATACAAAGAACTATAATCAGTTATCTTTGTACTAGTAGTCTTGTTCGAGTAATTGGACTGGTTTTATTGGTTTTAGATGAAATACGATATAAGATTTACTTTCGTGTGAAATGCTATTACAATATATATATAAGTCGTGATATTATACAGAAAAATATTAACTTTAAATCTGTGTCTATATATGCACCTTTAATATAGTACTCCAAAATATTTATTCATCATACATGTACTAGTACCACAACTTGATAAAATTATGATCGTTATAAATTGTCAACTTGAAGTATACATACTTTGACCTCTTGCCTGTAAGCTACATGTAAAGTTGAAAAAAAAAAATAAGAGAGAAAATTGAACAATACGGCCACAGGTCTAGAGTACCATTCATTATTTTTTAAAATGCTTAGTTTGTTTTACCTGTTTTATAATTTTAACTGGTCAGTCGATGTTTTTGTAGTTTAAATACACGTACTAGTTAAATGATACCGTTGTTATACCCGGTACTGACATAGGAGACATGCGTACAATTGTATGTGTATTTACGGACATTGTTCAACTTTAAGGGTCCTCCATGACCCGTAACATGGGTTGTGTGTTGAGAGAAAATCCTTGACTTCCTGGTATATATACATTTAAAACATTGCTGTGATGCCATTCCTTTGTTCTTACAGTCTAAAAATTTACCTATGGCAGTCCGATATTAGTGAGTAGTCTGATATTAATCGTAATATCAGACTGTCTCAGAGCTGATATCTTGCAAAATTGGACTGTTACTGAACAAAGGAAATAAAAAATGTGATTAATCAACAAACAGCAATTTAAATTTCTCACTTATAATGATGATTTTGAAATCGTGATCTAAAGACTTAACTTTCAATTACACCGAATATAATGTAACAGGAAGAAGAAAATGCGACAGACCAGATCATTCAGAAAAAAACCCAAACAATCAATCAAAGCTGGTAAATTTCTAATAAACTTATTTAACTTGAAAAAATGTTTCAACCCCTTTCTCTGGTCTTATAAAAAGAGTAGACACATTGGGGGTCACCAGAGAAGCATAAAAACTTTCAAAACCCCAAAATAAATTCAAAATAAAACACAAACTTTAGACACTACAAAGAACACCATTCAAACAATTTGATTTCATTTCTCTCATAGAAAGAAAAATGCCTTGGCAAAATCAAGGTAGCTAGGCCTAATATATGATAATTAATACCTAATTTGACAGATTCGTAGTATTTCATTATTTCAATGTTTCCCTCAAAACCCCTGGATTTGTTTTTCTGTAATGAGCATCCAAAAAAACGAACATGTAGAAGCTAAACATCAAAAATGAAATGAACTAACAAATGTACCTCCAGCATCTGCTTAATTTTCTATGGTCATTCTTCATTTTCCATTCCATATTCATCATTCACTAGATTGTTTATATTATAATTCGTTGCTCTGCTTTAATCTCCATGTATGTTTAAAGGAAGAAAAAGTTCGTCCCCACTCTTCTTATCAAATTATTTCAAAATACCTTTTACAGTGAAGCCGAATCCCTAAATACTGAGTACTTTTCATTTAAATCTGCATTCTTGAAAGAATTGCTACAGTGGCCATTAACATCTTTGTCTTTTGTTCTAATATCGGACTGTCTCAGGTAAATCAAAAAGCAATGTTTTAAGTATGATATATGCCTCATACAATTCTGTATTAAAAAATATCAAACAGTTTGATATGTCTGATATTTTTAATACAGAACTGTATTCGGCATATATCCAATACGTAGTTTGTACACTAACGATTTGCTTGGAATCACATGCAACATAGTCTAACAAGCACTTTTGTGGTGAAGGTTTTGTCGACGTCAAAAGAAAAGAGAGTGGCACCCTAATTAAAACAATGAACACATGATATGATAAGTAATGACGTTATGTATGTTACAGGAAGAAAAAGGTGCTGACCAGTAAAATTAAGTTTTTGTGGCTGCACCGTAAACTTAAAGACATATGCCCTAAAATTACAAAATTGATTGTGCTACTTATGGAATGTCAATGTGAAAAATATGGATCTTAAATTGCACATTTCTGGAATTCTTATTAATTAATGATAATTTGAAAATTTTTCCAAAAGTAATAATCATAATTTCGCTGGTACATTTTATATTTTCATTTTTGGAATATTTTGATATTATCAGACATGTATTCACAGACGACTATCGTTCGATAATGGAAACATTATTAATATGTTTTGTACATATGTATAATTGAAGAAGCATGAAAGAACAATCGTTGGCCTTAGTATAGATGGAGTTCTAATTATAATTTCATCTTTAGAGAAGCCATCACTTGTCCCTTCCTGATACTTCATCTTTTACACATTAATTTTAGTGCTATAAATAATTACATCTAAGGATAACATAATCTTTTATTCAGCAGGTGCTGTATTATTTAAATAATATCAACGATGACTGTCGAAAGCTGGGTGGACAAATTAAATGGAAGATGGACACCGGTGCTCTTTTTCAGTCTTGGCATAGTGGCATTTTTCATTCCGCTGTTTTTCAGTCCAATTGAATGTGTGTTTCCATCAGAATTTACGCCACATGATGTTGCATATGGAAAATCTCGTTGTTATGAAGCAAAAAATGCTATAAAATATTCTGTTAAAGGGAATGTCACGACAATCGTTTATGCAGAAGTAATTGGGCATGTCATCATAGGAAAAATAAAAGCAACAGACATTGGGGAAAGAACTTTATATCAATATATATCAATAATCCTGATTTTACAGGCTATTTTTCTCAGAGTTCCATTTATTTTATGGAATCTGGGAGTAGAGAAATTAGGCATCCATTTCTTGGTTGCTACAGGAAACCCTAACGACAATAGCAAATCTACAGGAAGGAAGCTCGCCATCTATCTGGAACAATGGATTCAAAATCGGAATGTCAACATCCTTTCCCTAGGTGCACTCACAATTTTTCATTGCTTTATCAAACTGCTATATTTTTTGAGTACTTCTGTGCACTTAGGGCTGCTGGATCCTTTCCTGAAGCAGGAGAATGAAACTAGCTTTGGTTCTCAGATCCTGAAAAATATAAGAGAAAACAACATGTCTTTATATAAATCTTCTCCAGCTTTTCCCTTGCAGATAGTTTGTGATTATACTTACTGGCAGCTAAATACTAGGCATACATATATAGTGCCATGTACCTTGCCACTCAATCCGTATCTGGAGCAGATAATGGCGCTGGTGTGGTGGTGGTTAATCTTCACTGTAGCCGCCACAGTAGCTGATGGTTTGCTTTACCTTTTTGGCGCCGTTCTCCCATTTTTTAGGATCAGGTAAGGTTTAAATTGACCGACGGTCATTAAGAAGTCTTGTTGTCAATGTACTTCAAGGTGTATCATTATGATCATAATCAAATGATCTTCCTAATCAATTTGATGTTTTTTCATAACATGTATTCATTTACCTTTTAATTTTATTTTAATAGATTTGTAAAGTCGAATATCTTAAAAGCTGATCTTGGAAATTCTAAAGAAGCTCTGACAGACCAAAATATTCAACGATTTGCCAACGACACGTTGGGAGAAGACGTGGTTTCTTTCCTCAAACAGGTACAAGACGAAGAAAACGGATGTGTTGTCATGGAAACCGTAACTGAGTTATGGAAAATCTGTCATGGCAACATGCAACCAACACCAAACAGAGCTCCGTATCCAGCACAACAGATATCTTCAGGATCAAACCCTCCAGTATTGCCCATGGGAAACCCTCCACAATACACTCAATTAGAAATTCGGGCAAATGAACGTCATGATAACCAGCAAACAGCGCCATTATTATACCCATCCTATGCACCCCACTCGTAATCTGCCAAAAATAATGAGTAATCGGCCTTTTCACGAAAAGTCCGTGACAGATCACCATATATTGTATTTGAGACATTTTTAATTACATGACAGATAACCATATTATTTTATGTACCTGACAGTTATGACGGAGTTTTCCAAAATATAACTGTTGTGCTCATGGCAAGCAAAGACCTTTTCAGGTCCATCAAATATTCTGGAAAAAAAGTAGGTTTTCATGAATGCATCACTGAGAAAAAAGAAAAAAAAAGGAAGAAGAGAAAATAAAAGTCTAGCAATAAACTAGCAATCAAAAACATTTTAGTTCGGAAATAATGGACTTACAATTTGTATTTCAAAACAAACAGTCATCATTATACCCAATACCGGGTTATATTAACAAAAGAAATAAATGTGCGGACGGTTGTGAAATATTAACTTTAAACGAGATAATTATAAATATCCGTGTATTACATGTATCAAATCAACTTCTTTGAGAGTAACTCGTCTTGCATACTAAATGAAATGGAAGACATAAACATCATATATGTAGTAAATATCTGTATATTGCAACATTGCATCATCAGGTTAAACACAAAGTTAACTTGTTAGATTACCATCGCCTTCTTCCTCTGGCAACACATCAAACTATGAAGCAGATTAGTCCGACGCTTATGTGTCTTTTTATTTTAATTGAGAATCTAAATTGAATTCTTTTTTATCAAATACAAAGAAACAATAATTTACATAACATATATATCAGTATATATATATATACTTAATAGAAGAATTGCTCTTCACCACATGTTGTATTCTGTTTATTACTTTATTATGTTTATATGTAATTATATATGTTATATGTTTATGCCTAATGGACCCTGATTGGTAATAAATTCTATTCTATTCATAACATGTATAAAGTATATTATATGAAAATTTTGATTAAAGATTGCAGATAAAAAATACACGTGTTTTAATGATCAAAAAATAATAATATCTTCTACACACACAAATATTAAAATAAATTTAAAATTATTTTTTAATTTTATTTTATTCTGTATTCTTTGATTAAAAACAAACACCTTTCGAATTTCTACTTCGTCATAAGAAAATTCTGAAATATATTGAATATTGTACATAATGTAGATTTAACAAAATTATATTTAGAATCTCTGGTACAGTGTAAATTCGTAAGTCTGCACTTCATCTTGTATTAAAGTTTGAAAATTTGCAATCAAAGAAAGTGTTTGAATCATGATTTCAGAGTAAATCAATGTATGTAATGTGTTGTCTCAGGTTTAGCCAAAAGATAACGTACAGAACAGTCACGTGATTACTATCAATGTAAGATACTGAGGCTGCAAATGTGTGTATTCGCTATAATTTTTTATGGAAATCCTACCCACCTTTAAACTTACAGCAGTCCCATGGGTATTGTTAGTAATTTTACATTGTAGGATTGCCAAATCATTTGTTGGCCTATTGTTGTTGTCAATTTATTCTTCAACATGTGTTTGATATTTTTTTTTGGTTATTGTAGTGTTGTATTTTTAAGTACTGAGAGATTCAAAATCAGGTACCGGTGTGTAATATAAATAGCAGAGAGCCATAAGAATCTCCCATTTCATGTATTTTACTTTAGTTCGTGTGATTAATAAATGACATATTTACAACTACATTCAATCTTGGTTCTGTAATAATTCTTACTAAAAAAAATAACAGAGCTGTGAGAAACAAAATGATTAACATTTTCATTCTAATCAAATGGGAGGCATTAAACAAATGATTCACTGACAAACACCCATACAAAATCAAACATAACATAAAGCATTGAATTTTCTGGTCAAGGGAAATTTCCTCATAACTTCAAGATCTGCTTTCCATGAATTATATAATACAATTTCATCATCATAAAACTTTTCACTATAAACCTTTCAATTCAAAGATCCAAATGAAATTCTATTTACATATAAATAGACATATATACACAAACGTCACTGACTGATTATTGGCAAATTATGTATTTAAAACTCATGAAGAATAACAGTTTACTAAAATCTCACTCACATAACTTTCAAATTTCATGCTCACAATTAATTATATTAAAATGTTAATAAAGTGACCCAGTATATTGTCCGTACGTCTATAGGTATGATGTATAGCAATATTGTAAAACTTGAAAATGAAGGATATGGAGATAACGAATAGTATTCAATATAAGTCCATAAAACATTACAAAACAGGAACAGAGCAAAGACGGACCTCCAAAACATCAGAGGTGGGAACAGGTGTCATGGAGGAGTGAAAAATTAATTCTTAAATCAGTCACTGCTCACTTCTTAAGGATTTTTTGAAAGTGTCTAAAAAATACTATATATAATACTAAACTTTTCAAGAGAGCAACCAATCAAATACCTGGATTCACTTTTGCATGAATAGCATGCCTGACTTAATGGGAAAAGCCTTAGTGTAATAACACTAAATAACTATATACAAACGCTCTTACTTAAGAATTGAAATACATTATGGACAGAAATTAAAACAATTATTCAAATGTGTTTTTATTAAGTAATACTTTTATTGTTAAAACACGCGGTCATACAACAATTTGTAATTTCAAACCCCTGCTTAGGTTACTCTTCTGACGCTCTGTTAGGAGTAAAGGAAGTAGAAAAATTACTAAATATGCTTTGTATATCTATTGTAAAGATTTTCATCAAGTTTTGGAAACCGGTAGAGGTATGGTAATTGAAATTCAATTCGGTTTAAATTCACGTATAATTTAAAATACAAAAAAATAAGTCCTTCCATTGAAAGGGAACTACGAGTAAAAGTGAGATTACCACAGGTAGAATGAAAACTCCTTTGTCCGAATTCTTTTTTTTTTTTTTTTTTTTTTTTTTTTTTACATATATATATATCATTATATACTTTTGAATATATTTAAACAAAGGTGTGATATGCTTGGCTATCCCATTATGAATTATTTTTATCTCAAAACTAACAACTTTTTTTTTAACGTAGTACAAAGAAAATACCGTTACGGTAATTTATTGTTCAAGCACATGTTAAATTATTATGATATGCAATTATTTCTGTTTTCTGAGGTCAATACGATGATTTAGACACCTGATTTAGACACCTGGGGAGTACAATATTTACCGAGCCCCTGAAGGGAAAAGTCAATTCTGTACTTCGAAGGTGTCTAAATCATCGTATTGACCTTAAAAAAATCAACAATAGCTGTTTTATTATATGATTATCTATATCTGGTCCAGTATAGAACATATAATTCCTTATATTAAGACCTGGAACGTCACGTGCAGGTTAATATAATGAAGTATTTTTCTAACATTGTTTGATCTCAGCCAATCATAGAAATGCATTTGAGAATTACTAAACCATATAATGATATCAGATATTTTCATCTTTTATCAATTATTATTGTAGACACCGTTAATGAAAAGAATAATGCGTTTTAAATACCCTGTATTTCCCTCTTTAACATGCAGGCTTACTGTATCTTTATCAGACAATTCAGAATATTACAATCTATATACATATATTGTGTTAATTCAGAGATTTACATATATATAGTTAGATTTTGTTTTGTGTGAAAATAAAAATCCATAATAACCTCAGTACAAACTTTCCATTTTCATAGTTTCCTGCTATTATTTTATAATTAACGAAAGGACATTAGATGATAAAGGTCAGTAGAATTTTGTACGAAATAAACTACGAGTAAATGTAGGATATATGTAGTTGCTGAATCATAAACATAACGACGGGGATGAAAAGCACAGCTGCTAAAATCGGCTTGGTGTAAATTGCGGAGGATGGAGTCTCCACAAAACTCCAAAATGGAGGGTCAGAGAGTGCAAGGGGTGGAGTCTCTTGTGTAAGATGATGCAGGAGGTGGAGCATAGTGCTTGTCGTAAATTTAGCACGTGCTTATTAAATCTGTCATCTCATTTTCTGATACCCCGTGAGAATGTGTTAGAGTGTTACATTACCAACAATTAAAAAAAATCCATTGAAGTTGAGTTAATGAAACTCAGTTATATCTCCCAACTTGATTTTGTGATGACCATTTGACAGTATCTGGTGACATTTGTTTATAAAATACTAAATCAGAAACAAAGAAACAGGAAACAGTAAAAAAAAAAATGAACACCACATTTCAACGAGGGGAACAGCTTTGCTGATTATTTGATTTTTAAAAATAACAGAGACTGACTGCAACAGATATATGTAAACAGACTGATATGTAAATAAAGGTGTCAATGAATATCGGCCTCATTACAAAACATATATTACCATCTGAAATATCTGATTGCTGTCGAAGACACTGTTCGAAGTTGGAAATGTGCCGTGATGTCATTATTTACTCAGAAATATTATACCAATTATCTACTGCACACAAAAACATTTTTAGAAAAATTAAAAATAATTAGTTAATAGATTCAGTAAATGAACTGATTGTTTTATTAAAAAACTCTTGCCATTAACTGTTTTTATTTTATTTTATTGCTCTAAAAAGAATGAGAAACAAACAATATGATTACGAAACAACAAAATGAGAATCGAAATGACCTAAAGATATGAGAAACAACTGAGGGGGCATGTATCCTGTGATTTTGATTTAAATTTTGTTATGAGGTATAACAGATGCTAAGTGCAATGGAAACTGTCTGATTCACACTGCTATCTCTTGTAACCATGAGGTCTTGACAGATTTTATTAGTATAGGAATCAAATATCTGAAGGGCAAAATGTTCAAATTGCTAAGGGCTAGATTACCCAAACTTCTAGGGAAAGATAAAAAAAAATTATATTAGTGTAAAGAAAATTTGTCCCCTCATTTTTTTGTTGATATAACAGAAAGTCATGTTATCTTGTGTATTAAAATTGACACAAGAGGCTCCACCCCTTGCACCCTCTGACCCTCCATTTTGGAGTCATTGTGGAGACTCCATCCTCCGCATTTTACACCAAGCCGCTAAAATCTATTTCATATGTTTCCTTTATTTTGGGAAAGAAAATTTGAAAAGGAATAAGATAATGTATTTTACTACATACTAAATACATGTTGACAGAGTTAACGCACATATTTAAACTTTTGCAATGTAAAAGCTAGCTATAGGTGAAGATAACAAAATGTGAATGTATATAAATGTATGTAAAATACAAAAATGCACTATTTAGATTAAATTTCATTGCTGACATAGGGATTTTCCCCATTCTGTCCAGTCATTACAAAATAATACCTTAATTCCTGCCCTATGCCACGAAAAATTATAAATCGGGATTTATCAATTTACAATCAATTATTTTACGTTTGCCGTTAACGATAATGCAGGGAGAAAATCAGAATTATATAAACATTCAGAATATTAAAAAAATATCACCACCATTTACTGATCTATTTATAATAAATTCATATATACCGGTGAAAGAAACCGATTACTGCAAGGATTGGATTTGTAAAGTGGTTAATATATATGCTAGCAGTCTAACCGATTGAAATGAAATAAACTTTGCTGTTCGGTCTGATAATAATGATCGCGCTCTGTTTATCAGAGATCAGCATTCCATGTTAATAAGTTATTCTGAGCTGCAGTAAGCTGCTTGCACATATGTTCTACATTAGAAGTGTTGTATGTACAGCTGCTGAACTGTGTAGTTTAAACAATTGAGATCTGTGTAATTCAGAGGAATGTATACAATAACCTAGCGGTCAATTCATAGATTAACTTATGGGAAATTCATTTACTATTTATATTTGCCAGTAGTTTAGTAAAGGTTAATACGCAAGACGCTTTTCTTAATTAAGTAATATTGATAAATTTGTTTGAATTTATGAAAGTTTAGAAATGTGTCAATCAAACACGTCTAGAAATTCGAAATTACAGAATATGAAACACATACTGTAAAATCACATATTTTCGTGGGTTCAAATTTTCGTGATTTGAGTGATTTGAGGAAATTCTCTTGTTTTGTGAGAATGTGATTTCGTGGATCAAGAATTAATGAATACTTATGTAGGTAGAAGGATATGGAGATAACGAACAGTATTCAATATCAAAGTCCATAAAACAAAATAAGAGCAGAGCAAACACGGACCCCCGAAACATCAGATGTGGGATCAGGTGCCATGGAGAAGTGAGCATCCCCTGCCGACCGGTCAGACTAAATGTATGCTCCTTGTCATGATCAGGAAATAACGTAAAAAATCCGTTGTCAATTTAGTGTATAAATAATTGACTAACAATTGGTATGAAAAAAGTCGGTCAGCATTTGACTCAATGATAAATTGTATTTGCTGACAAGCTCATTGTATCAACCATAGAATTTAGGAAATGATGAATTTAAACGAGACTGCAAATATTCTTGTTTCATCAACTTGCTTGTCAATAATTTACCTCGTTTTACAAATTATTCATGCGTAGAGCATACTCAAGCGTATCGAATCAATTGATATATATATATATATATATATATATATATATATATATATATATATATATATATATATATATATATATATATATATATATATATATATATATATATATATATATATATATATATATATATATATATATATACACGGTATCTATATATATATATATATATATTCTGTTTGCAGGTGATGAAGGTATATTGCTGCATAGGTAAGGGAAGTTGTCAATAGAAAAGTTAATTATCATAGAGCTCGGTTGTTAGATTACCATTAGTGTCTTTTTCAAGTACAATATTCAAGTATGTAACAGAAGTGTCGGACTCGGTGGTGTCTTTTATCTCAAGCTCACCAGGATATATCGTATCGACGTATGAATAGAAATTAACATTTTTAATTGACAATACGTCGTCGATATATCTAAATGTCGAGTTGAAGGCCACAGCAAGTGTTTTCTTCTTTTCACTCATTAGATTTTTGATGAATTCTGCTTCATATGAATATAGAAATAAGTCTGCTAATAACGGAGCGCAATTTGTATCCATGGGAATTCTAATAGATTGTTGGAATACCTGGTCTCCAAAATCCACATAGATAATTGTTAATCAGAAAGTCAAGCATCTTCTTGATGCCAACTTCAGAGTACTTATGTGTGCAATCAGAATATTTTACATTTCTTGGTGGACATGAATTCGTGGGTCTCGTCATAACTCGAAAACAACGAACATTAAAACCCCACGAAAATTTGTGATTTCACAGTAAATAAAATGAACATGGTGATTGATCTAACCGGGGTCTCATAAAGTCTGATAATCACACATATAGAACAATATTCGGCATATATCCATTACTCAGTGTAGGTATTTTCAGATGTTGTGAAAAGCTGCAATGCGTTAATGCAATGTTGGAAAAGGACAGTGGATTTCGCGTACTTGAATGACCTTGAATGTAGTAGGTGACGTAATTTATGTTGTATACATTTGTTACATTAAAAGTTCAGACTTTATCAAGTTAAACTTATCTATAACAGTCTGTAATAGATAAGTTTAACTTGATAAAATCTAAACTTTTAATGTAACACATTGACCATAAAGACCAAATATCTCGTTTAATGCCTATCATTTTTAATTAAAGGAATATATTTTATTAAAGTGCGAGAAATCGCTTGATGTTGCAACATTCTTGCTGTTGTGATTATCAATAAAGCAGGTATTAACTCAAATTTAATTTCTTCTAAATTCTGATTTCATTTTAGTTTCTTGTTTATCTTACAGATGCTTCGGGTGACATGTACAGACTATACCCAGAATATCATTCAATTTTGTATTGGTGAATATGGAAATGGACGAACCTTATTTTTTGTAGGAATAAAATGTTATACAATTAAATCACAATCATCACTCGTTACGTAGGATGTCTGGCGTGGAATTTGGGTCCCCTATGAAAAAGGAATGTTTCCATTTTCAGGAAGCGTTTACTTTTGTTAATCACGGTTCTTTTGGTGCAGTTCCTCTAGTTATACAGGAGAAACAGCGAAGGTAAGAATAATTATTTTGTCCATTGTCTTATTGGTATCCAATTTTAAATATTTATATTTCCATCGGTTTTCTCGGTGATGTTTTTGAAAATTAAGTGTGTTAAATCTAGGTATTTACAACTGAATATATCTATTTCTATAGGTATTTACAACTAAATATATCTATGTTCGTTTTACTAACAGTAGGACAGTTTGCTTGATGTAGAGAAATATTTTCGAATGGGACCTTAAACCAGAAGTCTCTCTCGAGACTGCATCTCTACTGATTTGTACTGAAAACAAAGGAAGAGAAAAGTAGCAGTTGCGACTTGAAGTTTAACATCAGCAATAAATAGAATAATGACCCTAGGAGAAGCTTTAAATAAAATTCTACAAAATTTTCAATTTTAGTTACCATGTCGCCATTATTCAAAAAAATAAAAACAGTTGTTTATTTCATTTTAAACTAATTGCATTCCACGTTATACTATAATCAGACTAAAACTGTATTTGGAGTACAAATGGCATATTCGAAGTATTTTACAGAAATTTCCGATATACAGTATAATGTATCTTAGCGTGGTCTACTTTTGTGCCAAGTTGTATTGAAATCAGACCAAAACTGTGGGAGGAATAGTATTTTAAATGTATTTCATATAAATTTCTATTCTTAGAAACCACAGCAACACAGTTCATTATGGAAATTAAAAACCAATACACATAATTATGTATCTTAAATAAGTCTATCTGTATGCCAATTTATTTTGAAATTAGACAAAAACTGTAGGAGGAATAGCATTTTGAAAAATAGTTTACAGACAGACAGCTAGACAGATAAACAAACAGATAGACAGACAGATGGAGTGCAACGGACACTTTACTATGAATCGCATTAGCTCTCCTGGACTCCGACAAGTAGATCTAAAAACATACAATCATTTGAGATAAGATATCATATGCCATAAAAATATACTTCACAGACTGATTAAAAGAGATTTAAAATGCCTCGGGTGTTTTGTTAATATTTCATTGCTATCAGATTTATGCCTTTTAAAAGTTTTGTCCTTATTTGCCAGGTTACTGGAGGAATCAAATAAAAACCCCGATATATTCTTCAGAAAAAGAGAAAAAAATTTTTACTGGGAGGCCCGAGATATTGCAGCTAATTTTTTAGGCGCTAAACCTGAAAATTTAGTTTTTGTTACAAATACAACCACAGGTATTTTTTTTTTTTTATATCGTTCATATCTTTTTCATATCAAATATATATTGAAAATTCTATTTTCCGTAATATTGCAATCTAAAAATAAAGAAATTTCACTCTTATCAAGTTGAAAAGAAAAGTTCACCTTATTTCATAATTGTCAGATATATTAAACATAAAATGACGGTGTTCTTACAGGAGTAAACTCTGTTCTTCGATCTTTGCCTTGGGAGAAAGGAGATGGTATTTTAGCAACCAATCTGACCTTCCCTGCCAATGTCAATGCCTGTCAAAGAGCGGCTGAATTTTCGGCTGGTAATGAAGTTTTATAAGATATACAAAATGAGTATATGATGAAAGTATCAACAATAAAAAACATACATGATGAAAATATGTTGTAGGACATTTTTACCAATTCAAGATACAGCTTCCTATTACGAACGAAGCAGACTTGACGAGAAATATGACGTCATATCTCGATGAATTCAAAAATATACGATTGGTTTTACTAGGTACTTTATTCAATTTCTTCTTTTTTCTATGTTTTATTATTTCCAGTTTTTAAAAATGTCACTCTATAGAAGATGAATGCTTTCTGATGGAGTCGTTAACTTTATAAATTGAATATTTTTCTTCATTTCTACATTAGATCACATAAGTAGTCCTACCGCTCTGGTATTTCCTCTGAAAGACATGATAGCAGAATGCAGAAAAAGAAAAGTTCTGGTTTTAATAGACGGAGCCCATGCACTAGGTCAGGTAGCGGTGAATCTTGACGACTTAAAACCTGACTTTTACATAGGGAACTTCTACAAATGGTTATACACACCTCGTGGGTGTGCAGTGCTGTGGGTGGCCGAGGAACATCAGACATGGTGTACCCCGCTTGTGACGTCAGTTACGTACAGACAAGGCTTCCAGTCAGAGTTCATGATGCAAGGAACGCGTGACAATATACCTTACTACTTAGTGCCTGAGGCATTAAAGTTTTTTAAAGATATTGGGGGAATGGTATCCATTTACACCTGATCTTGTTTACATAAGTTAAATTGTTCTTATTGAAAATATTAATGAATACTACTTCACTAGACCAAATACTACGAGGGGTGATCAAAAAGTTCGCAATCTATCTCTATATCTACAAAACCACAATTCAGATTAGAATGAAATTCGGTACACACATAGCCATACACAAGGTCTATAAATAGCATATGCTGAATAAAGTTTCTCTCCTTGTTTGTGACGTCACAATGTGAAAATGACGTCACTATTTAGGTCACTTGTGACGAAAAATGGTTATCTCAGTCGAACTCGTTCAACAAACAACTGTACAATTTATTGTAATATATTAGAAATCCCTGTACAGTATCATATAATAATTTGTACACAGTTTATTGAGATAAATGAGTTCCTATAAATTCAATTAATGATTGGATTAATCGTTTTAGTGAAGGAAGGTTGATGGTTAAAAATGATACTTGTCATCTTGCCCAGTGAAAGCAAGTTCGAAAAGATATGTATTTTTAATTAAGCAATTTGCTATCAAAGACCTCCAATTAGCACTTTGAAAAATAGTTGAATATTTGAACAATGATATAAGTATTAAATACCTAAGATATCGTTTACTTTAGAATTTAAACATATTAGATATGATAAAAAGGATGCATCCATTCTCTATCCACCTTTAATAAAGGTCTCTCCTGAGACAGAAAATTTGTGTTTTAATGGTCGCCATGCTTATTTTTGGAAAGGATGTTATTATCCACCCATTCTGTTGCCGAGATATGACCATTTCTGACAAATTAACTGTTCTTGTCAGAAAAATTAACTGACATGGAAAGAAATATAAAACCCGGAAAAATCTTTTAACTTTTGTGACAGAACGCTACGGAGGGGGTCACGTGACCGCCAATATCACGTGATTCGCGCATGCGCAGAACGGTGGTTGATGTGCATTAAAATCGGGGAGGATTAATTTAAAATATAATCAACATTAAAACCAAATATTGTTTCTTGTATGGAAGTTATTCAAGTAGTTTGCGAACTTTTGGATCACCCCTCGTAATTAAATTTTCTTAATTGATGATAAAAAAAGATGATAAGACATTTAAAAAAATTCTGTGCATTTATATCAAAACTATATGATTTAGTCTGTCCTCCATGATTTTTCCCCTCACTTACCGGTATTTCATTAATACATGTTTCATATGTGTTTTCTTTTTTCTTTCTCTCCCTTTTTATTTTTCTTATTATGTATATCATATACTTGTACCTCTGACCTGAATTTATATGCTGTAAAATATTTCGATGTGCTCATGTATCATGTATTTGAAATGATTTTGAGTGAATAAATGAACTTGAACTTCTGTATTAACATGATTGGGATTAAATTCAAAATTTAGAACACACATCCAGGCGCAAAAAATAAGAATATGACAATTCTTACGTTATAAATTCACCCTTGTATTTTTAAAAAGAAATTCCAAAGTAAAACTCGCTAAGTTATTTTTTTTCTGTTGATCAGGAGAAGATAAACAAATATACGAGGAATTTCCTTGAGAAAGCGTGTTTATTATTGGAGGAGAGATTGGGTACCAAATGTGTTAGGATCCCAGACTCCATGAAAGCTCCTAGAATCCGACTTGTCCAACTGCCACAGTACGAAAAATACCAAGCTACAACTGTAAGCATACACATGTTTACTAACCAAAAAGATAAGTATTCAAGTCCAAGTGATTGCAAATGAAAACTGTAGCAAAAACTCTTTGTGTCGCAAAAAGCAAAATTAATTATTTTAAACCTTATTTTAAAAAAAGGTTCTTTTGCTGTCTTCAGATGTGATGTTTAGATATAATGCTAATATAACTAGTGCTAATTGTAACGGGAACCGTTACAGATGTTCCCCAAACTCCTCCCAACTCCCTTTTGGTGCCATATTCCATGTAAGCCTTATTAAATAAGACAAATTCTGTGCATTTTTGCCTTTAACAATGTTTTCCCAGAGGGATACCAATTATATTCAAATTTTAACATTGCAGGCGTGCGCATGTGAATGCACGTGCGCAATGATCATATCATCTTCTCTACAATTTTCTATATGTTTAAATATACTATTTATTCAACCATTTAGTCCAAAAGTATTAAAAATCACTCATTCAAGTGTATTTTTAATTTCACTCGTTCCAAATGCACGCACGTGCGTGCACGTGCATGATGACCATTCCTTCTTGTAGGAGGCCCTTATATCTATCTATGTTCTAAATCTCATCCTGTTTGGTTGATAACCAAGGGAGTTATAGCCATTTCAAGTTTCAGCCAATCAAATTGCAGCACACGTGCATGCGCGTAATTTCATGATTTTTTTCTCTAAATCATATTGTAGGATGTCCTAATGCATGACTATGTTTTAAATTTCAAAGCATTTCGTCAATAAACAAAGGAGATATAGCCATTTAAAGTTTCAACCAATCAGATTGCAGCGCACGTGCATGCGCGTGATTTCATGAATTTTTTTCCATATTATATTATAATATATCCTAATTCATGACAATTTTAAAAATTTCAAAGCATTTCATCAAAAAACAAAAGAGATATTGAGATTTTTGTTTCAGCCAATCAGAGCAAGGCGCACGTGCATGCGCGTGAGTTCGTGCTAATTTGACAGTGTCATATCATTAACACTATTAATATATTCTTATATAATGACTTTCAAAACATTTCATCAAAAAATGTAAAAGTTATGGCTATTTTAAGTATATCTGTCATTTCACTCATTTCACGCGCCCGCACGTGCAGGCGTTTGCGCGCAAAATGACCTTCGTTCCGCACACCTACACTACACACCTATTAACCCTAAAAAGGTTTTAGGTCAGTTGGGTGAACAGTTTCTGAGAACACTTCCGGACAAAAAAGTACCGGTGAACAAATAAGAAAAAAAAGAAGAATAACTAGATGAGATCTCGTTGCGAGCAACGAGTAGGTCTTCCGTCCGATATTTCGATGAGACGAGATATGATTTTGACTATGACCTTTGTTACAAAATAATGATATCAAAACTTCTCTCACTTGATTAAATATTTTTGATTTATTCAACAATATCAAATACTTATAGATGAACGTGATTTGGCCCCTAATTTTAGGGGCCAGCCCCTTTTTCTTGATTTCAAATGAAAGGTCTATTGATTTTGAAGACTTTTTGTTCAGCACCTATTCACATATTTCTTTTCGTTGAAAAGATATCTTAAATGAAAATATTTAGGAGCCACCTCTCCAAGTCCTTAATAGGACCTGTTTTTTTTAATCTTCAAAGGATGCATATTGTTTGGAACATTATTCTGACCATTTTTTGCTCAATATCGCTTATTAAAATATTCCCCCTTTTCGAGATACAAGCCGTCAAAGATTTAACATTCTGGCCCCTTGTGACCCCTAATTACGTAACATATGATCAAAATTTTACAATATATTGTTGCAAATTGTTAAGATGAATATCTTTGGTTCTGTAATGTATTCCAAAATATTGATAATTTAAGAGATATTAATGAAAGACTTTTAGCCCCTCTGAGCCCCTGATTTGAGGCGTCAGCCCCTTTTTCGTGATTTCAAATGAAAGGTCTTGTGATTTTGAAGACTTTTTCTTCAACATTTATTCAAAAAATTCTTTCCGTTATGGAGATATGTTGAATAGAAATATTTAGGGGCCACCTCTCCAAGTCCTTAAAGGGGTCAGTTTTCAAAAATTAAAAGTATGCATATTGTTTAGAACATTATACTGACCATCTTTTGTTCAATATCGCTTATTAAAATATTCCCCCTTTTCGAGATATAAAGCGTCAAAGATTTAGCATTCTGGTCCCTTGTGACCCCTAATTACGTAACATATGATCAAAATTTTACAATATATTGTTGCAAATTGTTAAGATAAATATCTTTGCTTCTGTAATGTATCACAAAATATTGATCATTAAAGAGCTAGAGATGAAAGACTTTTGACTCCTATAAGCCCATCATTTTAGGGACCAGCCCCTTTTTCTTGATTTCAAATGAAAGGTCTTGTAAAACTGCACAACTTTTGTTCAATATGTTTTAACAAATTATGAATAGATACGAAGATATGAAACAAAACGTGTCATATTTTGTGAGATATTTCTGAGACATATTTTTGGCTCTACCGAGCATCGGCGCCATTTGCGCTAGAAAGATTTGGACGCCTGCCTGCAACTCAGCAAACCTTCCTTTCCTTTCACTGAAAATCTTGAGTCAATATCTTACGTCGTTCCGGAGGAGTTTCCAGGACAAGCCGACCCCCCAAAAATAGGAAAATCGTCCATATCTCACGACCGGAAGTGACGTCATCAACGACTTCAATTTCCGACAAGGTTCAGATGAATATCTATCAGATCTGAAAGTTTGGTGAAAATCTGTTGAGCCATTCCCGAGAACTCGCGTGCACAAAATCGGTAAGAAAAAAAAAGAATAATAATAGGGAAAAAGAAACCGAACGAAAACAATAAGGTCTTCCGTTGGAAACGGAAGACCTTAATAAGAAACCGAATAAAAACAATATGTTCCCAAACTCCGTTTGGGGAACATAATAACTAGTGCTAATTGTAACGGGGACCGTTACAGATGTTCCCCAAACGCTCCCCGACTCCCTTTTGGTGCCATATCCCCTGTAAGCTTCATTAAAATCTATGCATTTGAGACTTTGACAATGCCAAGTTCATTCAAATTTTAGCATTGCACGCGTGCGCATGTGAATGCATGTGCGTAATGACCATCATATTGTCTACACAATCCAAATATTTTGATATGCTAAATATTAAAGTATTTAATTCAAAAGTATATAAAAAAAAAACGCTAATTCAAGTGTATTTTTGATTTTACAATGTACCCATTTCACGTGCACGCACATGCATACATGAGCATGTTGACCATACCTTCTTGTAGGAATTCATTACATATATCTATGTTCTAAATCCCAACCTGTTTTGTTGAAAACCAAGGCAGTAAAAGCTGTTTAAAGTTTC